AGTAACTCCCTATTTTATGTATGAGTGGCCAGCCAGGTGTCCTGATTTAGCACCCTATGCCTTTTTCCTTTGTGTTTGGTTAAAAAAAAAACCTGAATGGCGAATACAAGAAAGTATGTCTTCCATACTACAAGAGTTCCTGGTAAAATCAGTTGACGCGATTCCTAAAATCTGGTGCCCTAATCGAATTTTAAATGAAACCCTATGCTTTCTTCTCATATCCATTTCTTATAAAATTATAGTTAATAAATAAATTATATTTTAAAAGAGGGAGTTACTTTTCAATCACTGTGCATACTATATGCGTATAGGTAACCTATAAGAAACACAATTATTACTGTTCGTATAGGTCTCCATAGAAAAGATATTATATGGTGGATATTTTCTAAAGATCTTTATTCTAGCTTCAAAGAAACATGAACCGACGAAAGCCATCTAGGCTATTATATTAGATTTGACCGGAATGAAATTGGTTTCATCCGTTTAATAATGGTGATGAGAAACAATCAATGGCGGAGGATCAAGGCTTCTTTTTATTCTGAGGGTGTCCGCTCGTAAACCTGAAAAATTGATTTGAATGTATAAAAAGTTGTTCTCTTTCTCTCTGTGCCATTCCGTGTGTGTCTCTAAAAATTAATTAAATATAGATACCTCCAAATATTCGTTAAAACATGAACAAACATGATTCTAAAATTCCCAAAATAAAGGTTTATCGTCAAAAATCTTTATTTTATTATTAAGAGGAAAGACCATAGGAATTTTTGATTGCAATATTTCTCGAAATTTTGGTTAAAAATGTTGTACCATAAATTATTATGTGAAATGTTAACGTCTTTCACGGTACAAAACGCACTGATTTGGAATCCTTTCAAAATTCAGTCTGATTTTAATGAAACTGTCACAAATGAATTAAATTATTTAAAAAAATTTTTTTTTTAGAAAATTTTGATCAAAATATTGTTTTACATGTTTGAAACCGCCACTCATTTAATTTTATTAAATTTCGAGAAATTCTTTTTGTAGTGATTAATGTTCATATTAGTTACAAGGACAAGCCCTCGGAAAATTTAAATCATCAATTTTTTTGTCAAACAGGACCACTTGTCACAGAAAATTTGCTCTGAAAATAAAACAAAAGCAATAATAATTTGCTCTGAAAATAAAACAAATGCAATAAAAATTTGCTCTGAAAACAAAACAAATGCAATAAAAATTGCAATAAAACTGAATTGTTTGAAGAAAAAAATATTTTCGACAAGCAATGAATTTTTTATATGAATTGCTTTCACTTTTTATATTTTAATTAGAATAATTTATAAACTTTTAAATATTCTAAAATTCTGTATTAATTTGTAGCGGTCAAGTGATATTGTTATTAAATTAGACCGTATTTACTAATCACTAGCAGCATGGCCCGGCGTTGCCCGTGATTGATTCAAAAATCGTACGACTCATACAGCAATCGCTATCACTTGACTTAAAATATTTTTGCCCTTCCTTGCCTTTAAAGGAGTGCCCTTTGCTGTGCTGATGTTGCTACATGCCTTACTTCTTGCCTATCTCACACTGCGAATTTGTTCTAAGCTCTATACTAATCATTAAATCTGTTACGAAAAAAGAACTAAACAAAATGAACACAAAACGATCAGCTTTAAAAAGGACTCGTAACTGGAAAAACCGAATGAAAAAAATGTTAACAGCAAATTTTTTCACACCCAACCCAGTTCTGCGGAATCAGAATCAACGTTGGGTTTAAGCAAGCGAATGATCCAATTGGAGTAAAGTGCCATGCAGATTTAAATTTTTCCCACTTGTTACAAAATGCAGCTATCGATTTTTTTTTTTTTTTGCATGCTAGCATGCTAGTTAACATTCGTGTCAGTCAGCCGTTGTCTCTCATGCTGGCCAATAGAATCTTCCTGCCTATTCGTGGCAGCCAGCTATAGGCTCTCACTCTGGCCAGTAGAAAATGGCTGCAAACTACATGGAAACTGCCGTAGAAGCATGAAAAAATCGACTATTTCCGCTATCGATGGGAGTTGGGAAATGCAAAGTCGCTCTTGGCCTTATCGCTAACTTGGAGCATATGCATGTAAATTTTGGTGCAAATCCTTCGAAAATTGCGGCCGTGCATTCGTCACACACACACACACACACACATCCTGCCTTTTAATGATAGAGATAAATAGAAAGCTATGGTGATCCAGATATTTCGAGGTGCACCCATACACAGTGGTATCATCTGGTTATATATTTACTCATGAGCCGAATAGGTTCTTAGGTAGATCCTTAATATAAATAATCCTGGGTATAACGATAAACTACATCCGGCAGCAATACCTCTGATCGGGCTATTTGATGTTTTGAGGAGCGTGGAACCACCTCTTAATTGCATGTTGTTCCCAGGTCCACTCGATGTAATATCACCTGTGAGGATCCTAGCGACGGGCAAATAGTAAACCCCCAAACAAAAAACAAACAATATGAAATTATAAAAAAT